AAAAAAATTGTATTTTTGAGAAATCTTAATTTTAAATTTTAAACATTTTTTTCTTCAGTGTGGCAGTAAAATTTTTAATGTTTTGGTATTTTATCATGCAAGCTCATTTATTTATCTACAAATAATTTTCTGGCAACATTTGTGTAGGACTTGACATTATTGAGTCATATTTTTAAAAAAAAGTATTAATAAAAAAAAAGTTCCGCCCTTTTTAAATGTTGGTCTAGCGTTTAAAAAAAATAAGTATGTAAAGTTGCTAAAGTAGACGAAATCTGCACACCAACAAAGTTTCATTGAAATCTGAGAGGGTGCTGCCAATTCTTTTGTCGAGTTAGCGTGAAATTCGTCAGCCATCTTAAAAACTAAATGCAAAATTCGAAAATCAACGATTGTTATTTTTGAAAGTGCACACTTAACAGAAATGCACCACCTTTATTTGTATTTTTGTTTTGTTTATTCATTTATTTGATAAGGCTCAATCGAATTAACTTTACAGAGCCGAGGATTCATGTTCATTATACAAAACATCGCATAACTATAGTCAAAAGATACAACACAATAAAAACGGGATCCGCTTCCAGTGGTTTCATTGTTTGGATGTATCGCTGACGGGGGAAAGGGCACCTCCGTTGCAGCAATGGACGCAAAAAGTGGTCATACCTCACCCACTTATCACGACACGGTTGCTTTCCAAAGTCGACGACGCATCGATCGAAAGAACTGCCGATGAAGAACAATGAGGAAGACCAAACAATGGTTGCTGCCGAGTATTGCCATAGAGGTAGCTCTTGCTTCAAACTTACTTCAAACTTTCATATCGAATCAAAACAAACATTGCGTAGTACTAGAATTTCGAATAGAATGGGGTACGTTAATCGTTTGCTTGGGACCAATAGGCAAGTCAAGTAGTGAGCCAATTTAAAATCATTAGTTTCGTATTGATTGTTGGTATTGCTGTACTATATTTGAGTTGACTACTTTTTGCTCGTTCCACCCTTTATGTTTAAAAAAACGTTTTTCCTTCTATCAATCAGTTTTCACTAAATTAAAAAAAAAAGAAACAACGAATAGGATCTTATTTTGTCAATATTTAAGCCCAAATTTGATTATCTCATCATAATTTTTAAAATAAATAATTGTTCTTACAAAATTAAAAACGTAAAACCCGAATTAATCCACAAAAGGTTAATAACATAAATAATAATAAAAAAAAAAGTTTGGCCACTCTGATACATTTGTGGCCATCGCAAGATCCACCGGTGGGTCGCCAACCATAGATTGAGAAACGCTAGTCTAGAGTGCTAACATTCATGGGTAGGTTTCGCAGATACATCTCAATGACTCAGATAATGTACATTATTTTTTGTAGAGCCAAGTTCTTTTTTTCTGAAATTTTGGAAATGGACCAAGTCAAGCGTAACTATTCAAATCGACGTATCAGCTTTTGTAAACAATCACTGCAATCTAAATTTCTAACTCACCCACGCAAACAAACACCATAAATCTTCACCTACTCGCTGGTGTTGTTAGTGACCTAGCAGTTGCCAAAAATCGTCGATTGAGGTGATTGTTTACAAAATCAGATACGTCGATTTGAATAGTTACACTTGAAGTATCCTCACCAGGAAAAAGATGAAGGAGGCTTATTTATTATGTTATCAAATTGTTTGATGCAGATATCAAAAACAAATCGCTATTTCCAATGCAATTGTTTATCAGAACGTTTTGTCACATTTAAAAAAAAACCTTGATAATTCCCCCTACCAGTGACAAGTGCCTTTCTCGTATAATATTGAATAGCTTCAATCCATCTTCTGGTCAGTTTTATCATATCAGCCCGAACAACACTAGTCCGAATATCACTGCCCCGAATGTAACACTTGCCCGAATGTAACACTTGCCTGAATGTAACACAAGCCGTTATCGTTTGTAATCATGTTACCATCAGAATAGCAAAATTTTCTAGGATTTGAAACTTTGATAAAAAACTACAAGGGACAACCCTATGGGGTTGCACGCAATGGTGACATAGGACTACGTGGTCTTATATAATAAATGTTATTTGTTAACTGCAGCAGAAGCTTGTATTTTGTGTAGGCATAGGAATTTGAGTATGACTATGATTTTCCTGAAAAGAACCTTTTGATAAGAATTTAAGTTTGGACATGTTCCCAAACATCCACCCAGCTAAAGCTCCTCCTCATTTTAGTTTTTCTCGTTAAACTCCTTCTCTGTAACTGGCATTCGTTCTCGTTTGATTTGGTGCAGTAGAGAAAATAAATAAATGTATAAATTTTTCTGAACAGGCATAGAGAAGAACCATGGCGTGAAACCGGATCATAAATTCGCCGAAAAAAGTGAAAAAGCGTCTTTCTGCTAAAGGCTAAGATTGACCAACTTGTTGTGTAACCCAACCTTAGTTTTCATTGCTATGACGAAGACTGAATTAAGGGGCTTAGAAGCAGAGGAGTGAAAGTCAATTCTCTTCACCGATTTCCTCTTTTTATGACCATAGCTTCACTAACCTATTTCGCATTATTTCTGCTATGCTTTTCTATTATCCAGAACAACAAACGTATCAATGAATGTGTTTGCCGTCAAGATATTAACGAAACAGAAAGTCGATGAAGAGAATCATGTGCATGTACGTAGTTGGTGGATTTGTTAGTTATTTCGACGCTTTTGGACAATGCATGACATTTATCACTTATTCAATAAATTCTTTTTTTTTAAATCATCAGTCGAAAGCATTGCTATCGATGCGTAGAAATATTTCTGTTTGGTTGGTGACAAAGTTATTGAAATTGTTCCAAAGTGTACTCCCATATAGAAATCACAGATGTAGTCCTACGTCAAAATCAGAATCCAAGATTTGTTTTTTTTTTCCTTCTTTTTGGCATGAGCTGTCCTTTCGAGAACTTTGGAAAATTTGTGAGTTCTAGGAATGAACAGTCTGATAATAAGTTAGAGTCTACATGGTTAGCGGTATCGGTGGTGTAGTGGTAAGCGTCATTGCCTTTCACCCCAAATGGGCCTGGGTTCAATCCCAGTAGGCGCCGCTGTAATTTGCTGAGACATAATATCTCTGATCACACCTTATTTCGGAATGGAAGTACAGCTGTTGGTCTCCGGTCATGAGTTTTTGAGTCAATATGAAGGATCCAGGTGTGAAAGCTGCCTCCCTGGCGTCGGTAGCATTGGTACGGAAAACAAGATCGTGTGAGTTTGTGAGTTCTATTCACTAGGAGCGTACACGGTGGTACCCGGGACGGATGGTTTGGGTGTTACCCTCCTACTGTCAAGCATTTTTATTCACTGCCAAGACGAGAAAAGAAAACTAATCCTGCAGATCATCAGTTTCCGGGTGAATTTATCGGCGAAAACAAACTCGAATTTGCTGGGAAACATCACCTCCATGCTGTGGCCAGATAAAACTTTTGTCGGTTCCCGGAGCCTTGCTAAGTATCACTGCATCTTATGGAGGATGTGCATTTCGAAGAATTACCTAAAAGCATTGCAATATCTCATATTAGGTAACTTGATAGAAGCTTTCATAAAGATTATTGAAAATTATTTCAGCATCCATGCAAGATTTGCATTGCAACTGCCAATTGGAGCTGCAGTTCTTTAGAAATCTGGCGTAGGATGCTTTATTACTAACTAAGCAAACAATTTCAAAATTTTCGCCTCTGTAGTTCTACCCTGTTAAGCACAAATTGCAAGTGTTGAATCGTGTTGTATACAGTATGCATACCTATGTAAACAATTTATTATCTCGGAACTATTCAACCATCGCATCGCAATAAATTCGAAACCCTCCGCAGTCAGCAATCAGATGACTAACACCGAGTGCAATAACAATTTCGACTCTGCCCCACGTTACCGGTAACGCCTGAGGCAACTAACCCGGTATAGCAGGACCAAAAAGCAAACCCAGAAAAAAATACATATTCGTAACAAATCTTAACTTGCCATGTCTACTATCATCATCCAATGTAGCAGCCACCGACCGACGGACGACGAGCGTGGGCAAAAGAAGCGACATTCCCGTCGGCTGCTGCAACTCTGCAAGCAAGCGCCCCGAAAACGGAGCCCATGAAAAACATGGTTCACACATTCCTTCTAGCATGTGACGTCACGGCGAGTTGCTCTGGCATGAATCACTCGACGTCTCTCCTTCATTCAAGTTGGCGCTACCAAATTATCATCGCAAAAACATCGCTTCCTATGTGGCTACCACCGCATGATACTAACAGACACTAACACAGCGAAGTGTGGGAAAGCAGTGTCTGCACCTGGTTTTTCTCGTAGCTGATGAGCTGATCGGACTGCCGCAGAGAAATAGAGAGAGAGAGCGAGAGTGAATAAACACAAAAATATGGTAGACAATGGCTGCAAAACCGGTTGGTAGCTCCTACACAAAAGGTTTTCATTCGAATCATTTGCTCTCGAGAGAGGGATTTTCAGTGAGAGCGGGAGAGTGCAGAGAGAGGTGGTACGGAAATTGTTTGTGTGTATCGAATGATTTGGATATGTGTATCGCAGATTGGTGGAAAGATGTTACCAACACATACGCGGGAAATGTTGCGTGATGGATGTGGGACCTTGGTGAGGAAGGGGTGCGAGCAGTCGACGATAGCTGGAATTTGTTAATTTTGAGTTAAAGGTTGACAATTTTGGGGAAATTTTGTAATTTGAGGGAAGTTTATGGATTGAATTAAGGTACAGGAGGGATAGTTGTGTTCAGAATGGTTAGAAAAGTTAGGAATTTCCCTAATGGAAACCCAATTATTCTCTTGCTCACTTACATTCTTCGAAGCCACATTGGTGTGCGTGTGTTGTGGTTGCATAAATTTGGTAGCACTTGCTCGCGGTTGGGAATTTTCTCTCTCGCTCACAGAGCGCTTCTCGTACAATTTTTTGGTGAATTTGCTGCCTCTGATGGCTTGCTGGCCGTGACGGAGTGGTCTTCGTGCTCAGTATGCGTTTGTATTGTGATCCGAAATGAATTGAAACCAGGTTCGTCCGCGCTGCCATCGACGGGATTTTTTCTATGAGTGGTGTGTCTCAACAAACCCAAAAGAAAGCATCTTTTTCAAGAGCTAGCGAATTAACTCTAGTTTCACGGATGGCTTTATGTACATGAGCTCTGAAGGTGAAGTCGTGTAATGGTGCCCTGGTGATTCGTGCGTGAATTCGATGTGAATGATTTGATTGATTCATGGTCTCGGGAAGACACACGGTGCAAGAGACGACAGAATTCAAGTTTTCTTCCTTGAATTTCGAAGGACCAGGTTCAGCAAGAGGGAAGAACTATCGGAAGAAGAAGCAGACAGCAGCAGCAGCAGCAGCAGCAGTAGAAGAAGAGAAGTCTGGTTTCTCTCGCTCCCGCACTCACTTTTGAAGTGTTTTTCGCTTCCTTCTCTCGGGCGAAGCAGAAAATATGTGTTTTTTACGTTGATTCTTTTTTTTTCGGTGTGCCCTTACACGAAAAGAGCCTAGGCCTGCTTTGATGGCGAGCCCTCAGCAGAGTGTTTGAATGAATGGAGAATTTCTACTGAAAAATCAAAGTGCTATTTTGCTCTTGCTCTGGATGGTGCTCGGTGTGCGTTTGAGACGGGAAAGCGCACCCCGTCCTCTCGAGATGTTGATCGCTCGAGGTGCAAATGATTTATGAGAAGGAACGAGCGAAAGGAATTAGTCGAAGAAAAGTATGGTCGAAATGAGAAATATTGGGTGATTTTCCTCCCGTACAAGTCGCAACACGCAGCAGTAACTCCTGTTCTGGGAGTTTATTTTTTGGGATGGTGAATGTGTGTGCGAACGTAATTTGTGTATTTTCGCGCTGGTGACGACGGAAGAATAATATGAAGAATTTTCTATGATCAATTTTCCACACGGTGTTGTTCCGAGACGAGAGGTTTGTTGTTATTGTTGTTGTAGTTTGAAGAAGGAGCCAAGGAAAAGCTGATAGGCAAACGAAGAGCGAGTAGGAGAGAAAACGTATGCGAGTGAGCAAGAGTGCGCACACTGTGGTTTTCGAATAGTTCGATAATTGAGAGAAAGAAGAAGAAGAAGAAAGTGCAGCTGGAAGAAGACGGAAAGAAGAACCGGGGAAGTAGCAAAAACGTACACACGAGAATCAGTTTTTTTTTTCGTTTGTTAGAAGAAAACCAGAGGCTCCTCAAGAAGTGTGCAAGCCGAGAAGGAGCAGGAAAAAAAATGTAAATGAACAATCAATATCTTGTACGTTCGAGTCGGGAAGTTGCTGGCTTTTCTGACACAGTGAGTGAAACGAAGGGAAAATTACGACCATTACGGTTTATTGCCGCCGTATATACTAAGCCGAGCAGTCTGAGTAATAATATTCCCATCCTCTCGAGAGTGTTTTACGGCTGCTGTGAAGGAGGATCATTTCGGGGGTGCTTCGCAGCCAAAATGCGGAAAGAATTATGAGGATTATTCATTAATCATGAAGACAAGTAAATAAAAGCGAGAAGGACAGCCGGGTGTGATCCAAGCGAGTGCGTGTGTATGCTACGGGATTAGAGAAGGAGAACCAAAGTTGAAGTGGTGAAAATCGGTCGCGACCAAAATATACCCATCGACGGAACGGACAGACGTACGAGGAGGAAGAAAACAAGTCAGGGAACGAACAAATACAGACAATGTAAGTGGCTAATGGTGCTGCTTCTTAACTTTATGTGGTCTGTTTTTCTGGATTCGTTGTCGTCGTCTTGAGCGCGTTCGACACGCGGAGCTCCTTGACTGGCACGACACAGACACGGTCAACCAGTTCCAAAGCCGAATCCAAAACCAAAGGCAGACGGAGAAACCGACCGACCAAGAGAGAGAGAGGGAGAGAGGAAGATGAAGAAAAAGTGATACGTTATAGTGGTTTGACGATAATTTAAATAAAATAAAGATTCAAACAATTGACGGAAAGATTTTGGAGAGGAAGCAGAAGGCTATATATTATACTTAACCAAATTTAAGACGAGAAAGAGGGAGATAGAAGGCGAGCAGTTTCCAGATAGGAATACCATGCAAAAAAGATGAACAAGTTCAGCAGGAAGAAGAGCAAAGGTGACGTCACCGAGGTGAATCGTCACCATCAACGACTACAGACTGCCACCAACAGTATAACTACGAAACGACGAAAATATCGGCTAAAGCTGCTGCCAAGCATCCGGACGACGTCGTATCTAACCCTAGGGCTGATCGTATGCCTTCAGCTGTTGATGATGTCCACCGTACTACACTGTGCCAAAACGTTCTACATGCACTGGAACACGACGAACAGTATATTCCGGATCGACAACACAGACCACATCATCGATGTCAACAAAGGCAACTCGGCGTTCGAGTACGATCAAGTCCATATCATCTGCCCGGTGTACGAACCGGGCACGTTCGACAACGAGACGGAGAAGTACATCATCTACAATGTCTCGAAGGTGGAATACGAGACGTGCAGGATCACGAATCATGATCCACGCATCATCGCAATCTGCGATAAACCGAACAAGCTGATGTTCTTTACTATCACATTCCGGCCATTTACACCGCAACCCGGTGGTTTAGAGTTCCTACCAGGGAATGATTACTATTTTATCTCAACTTCGTCTAAGGACGACCTCCACCGGAGGATAGGTGGACGATGTTCCACCAACAATATGAAAGTAGTATTCAAGGTATGCTGTGCCGACGAGCAGCACCAGCATCCGAATGTAACGTCTAGTAATAACAATATTGCTTCGTCGACGTCGATCGACGGTGGCAGTTCGCCTAGTGGTGGCGGCGGTAACAGTGCAGTCAGTGGTAGCAGTGGTGTATCGATCAACACTAATGCTAGCGGTTCGATGGATAATTTCGATCCATCGACGAGGTTACTTCCGTCCTCGGCGGTCAACAGCAGCCAAGGCAACATTGTGCAGAGCACGGTGAACTGGCCGGTGTGGAATGGTGGCCAACAGCGGCCAGTGCCGTCGACTCCATCGGTCAACAACGGTGGCAACGGTCGCCATCAACATCACTACACTCCATCGCCCCCGCGAACGGCCATCAACAACTACAACAACTACGGCGGCGGCAGCGGTAGCGGCTCTGGTGCTCATAGTAATAGTAATAATTATAACATTAACAATCCACCGTCCAATGCACATCAGAACAATAAGCCGACAAAGAAGACGAACGAGTACGACAAACACCCGAACGAAGTCGTCAAGAACGAGGAACTCACCTACAACAACGGGGCCTCGACGAGGACCGCCACCAGCAACCGAGGTTTGCTAGGATTAGTACTTTTAGCAATCCTGCTCAGTAGCAGCAGTAGGCTCTGTGCGGCAGGGTTGCCAAATACGATGCCATTGACGAGATAGCACGTAAGCCGATTCCTAACACGATGCTAATCATGACACATACACACATACACACTTCAATACACACAGACACACACACATTTGTAATACGAGAGACTCTTGAATCCGGATTTTTTTAAAAGTAATTCGTAAATCCGGGGGAAACATACCGCTTTCCCTTGCGGCGACGAAATCAACGATACTTGTAAAACAAGACAGAGCAAACAGCAGGACAGAAGGAGAGTCATCGAGATCGTAAGTTGTATCTTTGTTCGTACACATTAAAAAAGCAAAGTGGAAACAAATATCTAATAGTCCTTATATAGTGTGTAGTAGTGAGTGATATTAATTTAATGAACAAAAACAAAAACAGCAAGGAAAAATCACACATTTTTATTAGAAGGTAAACCGAAGACTGAGAGATTTGACCGCTGGAGCGAGTTTAATGAAGAAAATAAAAAAAAATGGAAAACGAATCGAAATAAAGCAAAACAAGTTCGGACGCAATGACTAAGAACTAACATTTACACAAACACACGTCTTGTCTACAAAAACATTCTTCACCCCGAACAACCAGAAATTCACCTTTCCCAATCTGACTGAGCCTGACCGTACATATTTCTCGTTTTCGTTGAGCTATTTTCAATTTAGAGAGCTGTCGTTCCTTTCCAATGATAGTTTGCGTTTTCCTGTCGAGTTGGGTAGAGGTTTTGCAATTAGCATTGCTCCCAGGATGAACAGATTAAAAATTTTGGCTTTGTTGAACTACTTCCCGAAGCATCTCCAAGCGTGAAGGGGAAAATTGGATGCAACTGCAACTATAGCTCCTCTCGAGTTGAAAGAGGCATGAGGAACCGAGACGTTATTTGGCTTGGCAGGTGGAGTTGTGTAATTCAAGAGATTTCAAATTTTTCGGATATCTGCCTTTTCTTTGTTGGTTGTTGGGTTGTGCACATTTACACGTAGGTGCCTGTTGGCTTCCATCAATTCGGATGAGAGGCTTATAACGATGGCTGCAGCTTGTCCGTTCCGAGTTGCTTGTTGTTTCCTATCGTCAGCCGTTGCACCGACCATCAACTATGTGTGTTATCACATTTTTGAGTGGCTGGATGAAGCTTTTCATCAGTGCATTGTTATGCCACTTTTGTGATGGGGTTATTCTGCGTTGGTTCTCGTCGTGACGGTTTTCTTCACTGCTATCGGTGTTTTGGATTTTTGGCCGAACGGGGTGCAGCAGATTAGGTTGGTAGAATTTTGACGGAAAGGATTCTAATGGAAGGTTTCTCTGACATATGGTATCAGTTCTATCTATTCAAATCTATAGCGATTTAAAAACTACAATTTGTGCTTTTGGAATTTAAGGTTTGAAGATTTCAACTTCCATTAATCGTTAAAGCGAGTACTGGGTTTAGGGAGAATATTAAGGTCTAATGTTTAATGGTTTAAGAATTGGAATAATGTATAAAAACTATTTTTGGAAATTAATGCAATAAATAATACAAAATAGGCATTCAATTTGAAAACACTTCTAAAAGAAATTCTGAATATCAGTAGTATACCATATTGTAGCACATGGCTCTGATTCAGTGGTGTAGTATAATCTACGCTTCTAGCACAACAAAGTATTTCAGTCCGAGCATTGTACATAGAAATTGATGACGCTTCCCAGTACATTGCTATTTAAAAGTTTTGGATGAAACATTGTTTTTCAGCAGAATACATCGGATTTCGAAACATTTCCTATTTTTGAAAGTGTAACGGATGTTATTTAGATACTGGTTGGTTTAGAATAAAATGTTATGAATTTATTGTAGTTTAAAGAAACAATATGGGTTTTGCTATTTTTACTCCTCTCGAATGAAAATTTGAACTTTGGGCTTGATCTACTGGTCTACCTCACACACTGTTTTTTTTTTCAGTATCTGGCCATCTAAATAGCATCCTTAGCCGTTTTCCCACTCTTCTTCAGTTAAGCTTCGATGATACCTCAATGCATTTCGATTGGGCGGTAATCCGAGCAGCTTGGGGGGTTCATCCCTTTCTCAATTATTGTGATACCACTGTTGCGCATTCTCATACTCCGTACAGACTACGGCTTATATCATGTCATATAGGCTGTCTTGCAATGAGCACTCATACATCTAGTTTTCACTGGAAATCCTATATTTCCTATATTTCATGATAAAGGCCATAGTCTGAACGGGTTATTACTGTAGTGGATACTCGTCAAATCTGGCCAAAACTTGGCGATGCCCCAGTGGGACCTAATGAACGGGAATACACGTTTCTAAAGAGATTCTTTGATGTATAACTGTCTGTTCATATTGTTGGTTGTGATGAAAATCGAAGTCGTCTGGCCATAAAATTGTCCACAAAAACAAATTTATGTTTCTTCGGAACATCTCCGTGACCCCTGGCTACATAAAACTTCTCCGGAAGCTGTTTGAAGTCCAATTTGACATACGTTTCATGGTCAATAAGGATGCATCCGTTGAATTTGGTCAGCACCGGGTCAAACAGTTTTCGGGCCCACGTTTTGGCCGTAATGTTCAGCTTTACGTCCGGTTCGGTTGTTTAGTTGTCCAATACTTGAAGACACCTTCCGGAATGCGTATAGTTCGAACTGTACTGCAAACAGCACGTCCGAAAGTCCTGGATTCGCTTTGAAAGCCTTCATGCAGTTTCCGGTCTACTATGCCGCTTCGACGTCTTGATTGCACCTTCCGTGAAACATACTAACGTTCCTTGAAACATTTTAGCACTGCATGCAATTTAAAAAAAAAAAACATAAAAAGACATTGTAAATAAATTTCTGCCAAAATATTCCAGAAACGACCACTAGGAGCGCTGTACCGGACGAAAAGAAGCGTACTGATTCTAAATTGGCAGGGCTTTACTAAGCATCACAAGCTCAGTGTGCACACATGGATGGCACATTTGTTAAAATTTATTGAACAAATTGTTATTTTTATCATACTTGGAACATCTGTCAAAAACTTCAAAAGCGCATAATTTGCACGTCGCCAGCCCAGCATTTTTATGAGGCCCCGCAGGTCGCCTTCCATCAGGTCAACCACTTTGTCCGCTGTGCAGCTCTTCGTCTCATTCCAGTTGGGTCGTTATCGTGAACTATTTTCACCGACCAGACGTTCCCAGCCCACCGTAGTTACCTGATTTGTGCGATGTGGCTTCCATTTGTCTTCCAATTGCACTACACCGTAGATGGTACGCAACAAGTTCCGTTCAACACACCAGGGCGCGTGGACCCTCCACGAGCATAGTCCATGTCTCGTGGCCGTAGAAGACTACCGGTCTAATAAGCGTTTTGTAGATAGTCAAGCGATGGCAAATTTTATTCGAACGGAGCGTCCTGCGGAGTCCAAATTAGGCACGATTTTCTGCCACACTACGTGTTCGAATTTCACTGCTGGTATCATTTTCGGCGGTCAAAAGTAAGTCTCACTGATTTATGGGCTGTTTACACTTATGGTAGTTCACTAGCTCAGCCAGCTCAACCAACTAACACGAAAATCAGTTGTTTCTGAAATTTCATACTGGTAGATACTGACGCCCAGTTTGCATTATGCTAGCTATTTTCAGTACAGTGCTAGTACACTAGCGCTAGCGAAAAATCACAGATGTAAACACCACATTATAGTATAGAAAGCTGGTTTATAACCGGCTGAATACAAGGTTGTAGCGCACGCATCCAATTTCTCACCCTTATTCTACATCAATAAGTGAGCTAAATTTCAGGATAAACAGGTTTTTGGACAGGCTGCAATGAGTTTGATCAAACTCGGTGAGCGCAGTGAGCGTGAGTGTGAGTTGTATTCCACAAGTGCTAAATTGAAATGAGTAGAATTCATGTGATGTTGTAGTAATATGCCAGCACTGCATTCAATCGTGATCTCAGTATTCTAAACCCGTACATATTCAAGCTCGATCGCTCTAGCATATTTTTAACATTTAATGCTCTGTTCAGTGTTGGGAAAAAGAATCCTCAAGCAAACAACTCCGGTTGATAATGCAAGCTGTGATATCGCAACTCGGAATATCAAGCTATCAAAACTCATCAGCTGAAAGTCTCACCGAACTGTGGTAAGATTGAGTTCCATGATTTTTGCTTTACATTCGAACGCAACCAAAGCCTCCATAACGCCTCCATAGCACTTCGTATCTGTCATCATTATTAAATCTTCTCTTTCTAAGAAAACGCTCATTTCTGCGTCGATTCAACTCGCAGCTACAACTTTACACGTTGTGAATAATTTTTTTTAACTTTATTTTTGAGATTTTTGATCTCGTTTTGTGAATATCAAAGGAGCATGTAAAATATCATGCGTGATATTGAGAGCAAATGAAAGTGGAGAAATATTGTGAACTGTTGATTGAGCAGTGCGACTACTGTAATTACGAGAATTTGTAGCGCTCGCTCATAAATTCATCTCCTGGGGAGGATATCGAGCCAAAGATTTTAAATTTTGGAAATTTGTATGGTAAGAGTAAGGTAAGGTGAGGTACCATGGAGAAATATGACCAACATCGCTTATTTACGTGTTTTTCAAAACAAATTCGACAAGTTTCAATCAAAGTTCATGTTACTTCATACGTGCAGTTTACGACTTGAGAGTTGGGAGGAAATGCTGTACACACCATATTCTGAGATCGAGTTCCAACAAAACGAATTTCTGGACAGCTTTCCAGTAAAATCGTAATGTACTGAGTGTTCAGTAAACTTAAATATTTTGCTGGATAGCCTAGTAAACTGTGTAGCCTGTCAGTTCATTATCGACCACGCTCTCACAAATTTTATTTACTTTCTAATTTAAGCAGGGTCAGATAAAAAAAAACATGGAATACATGACAATACCATTGGAATAATTAGCAATTTAGTGTACTTGATAGTTGGTGAAAACAAAGGCCATTAAATGTTAATTTCTAGCAAAATATATAGCCTAATCAGGCATACAACAAAGGCAGGAGCTGATGATGAACCAATGGAATCATTTATCTACATTTGTTTCAATAAAACTGTGGTCAAATTAAATTAAGATTGATTTTATTTCAAAAAGCTTTTCCTGATCAAACAAATTACTGAAATTACAGCAAAAAAGATTGAATTTCCATTGTTAAATGCTGTTAATTTTACGTCAGATTAATTTGATGGTCGATCAGCAAACATTTTTTGCTGGAAGGATAGCTGGATTTCCAGTTCGGAAAAATAATGCAAAAATTTGCTGCTTTTACGGCAATAAAAAATGAGTGTGTACTAATACAAAAATGAAGCTAAAGTGCAATAATTTACTAGCTAGAGAATGTTCTGAAGAGGATATGATTGATAGTTCAGTTAGAGTGTGAAAATTGAACAAAGGTAGAAATTGAGCGAAAGCTTATTAATGAGGCAATAATAACACTACTTTTCAAATAAAAGTTAAAAAAAAACTTCAATGTTTGATCTCTGATTCTCATGTTAAATCGTGCGTTGAATCCAAAAATGCAGTCATAAAAAATCGCAGTACCAAAACACAAATATC